TCTATTCATACCACTACAACTTTCTCTACTTCAGCATGAAGACTGCTTTTATTTCTAATGCTCATCTTCATAGCACTTTTAGTTTTCTAAGAGTTTCTCCTCGCAGTAATGATTTAATGTGAGAGCTACATGACTCTTCCTTTTAGTGGAACACTTATGAGTCATTGTAGCATATTGATAGAGAAAGGCAAAGGGAAATGGTCAGTGGCTCAGCCACAGCATGCACAATTATCATGTTCACTGTGCATGACACAGAAATAATTACAGTAATAATGTAAAGCTTCCTGATTGCAGATCATCACAGTGGGTGTAATGATAGAAAAACTCAAATAGTGAAATGATTGTTTTAAAATGTTGCATCGATAACAATCAAATACACAGTGTAAGAAAAAAAAAAAGTAGTGCTAGAAGACTTACCTGACAGGACATTACCATAAATCTCCAGGTTGTAAATATGCAATATTTGCAAAGCTGAATACATTAAAGGAAACAGGAAACTTGAGGGAACAGGATGATCGAGTTAGGGGAGGGATGAAGAGGAAGAGCAATGGGAGAGATATATTGATAGAAGGAGCCATTATGGGTTAAGGAGAAACCTAATGCTAGGGAAATTCCCAGGAATCCACAAGGATGACCCCAGTTAAGACTCCTAGCAGTACTGTTCTTTATGTTGTTGTATGTATTTTTACTTCAATATCTGCCCATCTCCTCATCTAATAGGTATAAGAGGTGCCTGTGTCTGAGAAAGTTGCTATTGGTCCACTCTATGTTTGGTGTGTCTGTGTCTCAGGGGCTCCTCTGGGTCCAATCTTAGCTCTTGGTCTAATTGGCACAGGCAGATTCTGTGTCTCAGGAGGAGGGGATTGGACCTCTCCTCAATTGAATGTACCAGGCTCTGCTGACTCCCCAGGGGAGACCTTGCCTTGGAAGAGGTGGGAATGGGGGGTGGGTTATGGGGAAAGGCTGAGGGGTGGAAGGAGGGAGGACGGGGGAATCTGTGGTTGATATGTAAAACAAATAGAAAATCTCTTAATAAAAAGAAAAAAAGACGCCTAGCAGTAGTAGAGAGGGTGCCTGAATTGGTCTTCATCTGTTATCAGATTGGTGACTGACCTAATTGTCATCATAGAATCTTCATCCAGTAAATGATGGAAGCAACTGATGGAAGCAGATGCAGAGATCCACAGCCAAGCACTGGGCTAAGCTGTTGGAGTTTGTTGAAGAGAAGCAGGAGCAATTCTAGGAGCAAGGGGGTCATGATCATCATGGAAAAAAAAACCACAGAGACAGATGACCTGAGTTAATGGGAGCTCGAGAACTTCGACTAATAGCTGGGGAGCCTTCATTGGAACCAACTAGGCCCTCTGAATGTGGGTGACAGTTGTATAGCTTGGTCTGTTTGTGGGGCTCCTAGTAGTGGGACTAGGATTTTTCCCTGGTGCATGAACTGGCTTTTTGGAGCCCATTCCCTATGGTGGGATACCTTGCTCAGTCTTGATATGGGGGTGGGGAGATGGAAGGAAGGAGGGGCTTGGTCTTTCATCAGCTTGATATGCCAAGCTTTGTTGACTCCCCATGGGAGACCTTACTCTTTCTGAGGAGTGGATGGGGGTGGGGGGAGAAAGGTGGGGAGAAACAAGAGGAGAGGAGGGAAAAGGAACTATGTATGTATGTAAAATGAAAAAAAATTAAATAAAATTTAAAAAAGAAAGGAATGCCTGTACTTCATGATAAAAATAATTAGAAGTGCAGGTTAAGGCAAAGACAGTAAATACTCGGTATTTCTAGGGCAAGCACTGGTGGTTGACAGGCTCCACAGAGGAGGAAAGGAGTAGGCAAAGGAAGAAATGTGGTGGTGAGAATCTTGTAGCCTGACTAACTAGCAGTCAGAATGTTTCTTTATTTATAAAGAATTCAGTAAGCAGGGATAGATTCATGTTGTTCCAAAACATAAATCATATCATTTTTGTTTCTGGACATGTGTTTAACTTTTTTTTTCTTGATCATCTGAGATCATAAGTTTAGTCATCATTGATGAACCCTGACAGAAAAAAAAAGTTATCTTTTACAATCATTTTCCCTCAGGTTTAGTCATCATTGGTAAACAGTTATTTTTTTTATAGTCATTTTTATTCATCAACCTCATAACCCAATTTTCAAGACTCTAGAGGCATATGACAGCTTGTTCTCAGGCTGGCAGTTCTTATGGCTTCAAGGACACTAGACAGAACGAAAATCTCCAAGCCAGCCTGGTAAGATTGCCATGTCCTGAGCAGTGTATTAACTCTTAATGATGAGAGTGTCCAAGAAAAATCCTCAGGACAAAGTTGCTGCTATTATTATTCAATTTCAGGTATAATACAATGTTTTTACATTGTATATTTTTATAGAATGTGTTTATATGTCTTATCCTGGCATTCTTTTGCTTCTTGATCATGTGACAGCACAGTGACCAAGAGCTAACTTTTCTAAGAAAGGCAGGTCCTGACACCTCATTCTTTTATCATCTTTCTACACTGTTCTTTCCCCATCAATATAAGTCCCTGTGTAGGGCAAAGGCAGCTTCAGCTAATCTAACTTTGTTGCTGCATATGCCATGTATTCGCCTTTGTGTATAGTAGGAAGAGGCTTGTAATCTAATCTGTGGCCAACTCCTCTAGCCCACAGAACAGTGTTACAGACCTTTTAAAATTTACTTTGTTTTGATAATCTTGTTCCTGAGAAGGTGTAGAGGCAGATGTTTTTGAGAATATCTCAGAGCCTCATAAAGAGGTCTCTGGTTTCTTTATGTGTGTCATAACCTCCAAGGCATAAGGAAACCTTCAACAAGATAAGGATATATCCCTAAAAACAAGAGAGTTAATATGCTCAAGACTTTCCTGGGGAATCTTAGAAGCAGTACTTTTAGGAGAAGGCATCCAAGATACATAAGAAATTTTCCATCATTCCAATATGTCCCAGTTGTATAAATATTAAAAAGCTCCTCCTCAGGCATGCAACACTTGGAGATCAAAAACAAAAGTTGCATGGTGCTCATCATGTGGCTCGGCTTTGTTGGATCTCTGTCAAGCAGCTGTGCTGGCTTTATGACTTTTGCTCTTCCAGATATGGCTGTGCCACAGTGTCCCATTTATAACAATCCCATCAACTACAAATCTAGGGAAAAGTTTAAATAGTTGAACCCAAAGAGGTCAGTGTTGGAGAGGAGGTCTTCATGTTTCTTGTAACTGCTGTCAGAACATTCTCACATCTAACAGAGGTCCCAAAAAAGAATTAGGAAATGAGAATATCATCTAGCTGGAACTAATAATGAAAGACTTGCTCAGTCATCTAAAAGCAGAATTAAGAGTTTCTTCTGGCCCGGTGGTGGTGGCACATGCCTTTAATCCCAGCACTTGGGTGAAACAGTGGATCTCTGTAGCTGTAAGTTTTCTCAGGTCCCACCTGGCCCTGCTGGTCCTACAGTGATTATAAAATAATTATTCAGAGGCTTAACATTATTTACAAACTGTATGGCCTATGGCAGGCTTCTTGCTAGCTAGTTCTTATAATTTAGCTCAACCCGTAACTATTAATCTATGTATTGCCACGTGTTCCATAGCTTTATCTGCATCCCATTACATGTTGCTCCTGGGATGGCAGTATGGCATCTCCCCTATTCTGACTTTCTCTTTCCTGTTTCTCTCCTTGGATTTCCTGCCTGCCTCTAAGCTGCCATGCCATAGGCTAAAGCAGCTTACTTGTTAACCAATGGGAACAACATATATTCACAGAGTACAGAAAGACATCCTCCAGCACTTTCCCTTTTTAGATATCCCCCAGCAGATGTCTGAGTTTGAGGCCAGCCTGGCCAACAAAGTGAGTTCCATGACAACCAGGGCTACTCAGAGAAATTTTGTCTTGAAAACACAAACAAACAAACAGAATTTCTTCTATTTGACAGAAAGTGTTCTGTCTTTGAACATCATAGATAATTTAACATTTCTCCTGTTCGTCTATGACTACTTTCTACAATGGCTTGTATTGAAACGGTACAGGAAGTAGACCTTTTGCCTCTGTCTCCAAGAAGTCAGGAATTTGTAGCATCAGACTTTTAGGCACACGCAGTCGGGCTGGGGTGGGCAGAAATTGCTGAATATAAATTAGAATAAGTGCAGGGGACTAAGGGAGCTCCACAAGAATTCCACCACAGGGGCCAGACAGGCTGCAAAGCTGAGGAGTCATAGGCAGGTCTATGAAGCCATAGCGATGGGAACGAAGAAGATGTGTGAACAGAGACTATCTCACAAACACCCTACTAGAGATGTGTCCAGTTGCTCAAGAGCCTACATAGAGCTGAAGCAGGAATTTCTTACCACATCTTCCTTATCCTCTTATTTGACTTGGTCCTCACTCTAACTTAGCCTTTGGATATAAGTATAGAAAACAAGTAAAAATGAAGGAGTGGAGGAGAAAATAAAGTGGCTACAATGTATCAGTTACTGGTAAATCCATTTTCTGAGTCTGAGAGTCAAGTGAGAAACGATTTTATGTAATTTATTTGAATACAATTATGGGATTGTATTGCAAGTGCAAAGATTTTTTAGAACAAAAGGGTCAGGAAGTTTGAAATTCAAAGTCTCAGGTTTTATCCCAATGTTCCAGGGAAAGCTCAGGGGAAGGAAATGCTTTGCTAACAATAACTCGGTTGTGATTGTTGAGCCACGACATGAGCAAAGGTCTCTGGATTACCAGTTCTTTGCTCTTTACCCTCCACCCCACTGCCCAGGCAATTATAGGTATGCATGCTCCACACTCCCTTAGTCAGGAGGCAGATGCCACTGACAGTGGTGTTTGCATTTTCAGATTCCACTTCAGGAATGAAAAATGCTGAAGCAGTCAAAATTTATCACTTCCATGTTTCTTAATAATGTTTAACTTTTATTTAAAAATATCTAGGAGATAAAAAAAAAAGCATGCTATCTGGCCAATCTACTCCCTTTACCCCCAGCTGTTAACTTCAGAACACATCTGAAGTCCTTCTCTGGCATGTGGTTTAGGAGAGGAGCAGACAACTTGTGACAAGAATCAGATTTATATTTCTAATTTTTCCCCCTTGGTACTAGTACCACCATCAATTATTTTCACAGTCAGCTTTTGAGAACTTTGAGGATAATTAGCATCTGGATATTTACACATGTATAGGTGAGCCTTAAACTCTTCAGAGAATCACATTCTTCCCTCTGGAAAGAGCATTTGTTGTGGGAAACATCTCCCTGAGCCCTGCTTGAAAGAGACTCCTGTGTTCACTTCTGAGCAATGGAGGTGAAGAACTTCGAAGCTTGGGATTATGTTGTATTTGCAGGCCTCTTCGTCATCTCCTCTGGAATTGGTGTCTTCTTTGCCATAAAGGAGAGAAAGAAAGCAACATCTCGGGAATTCTTGGTAGGAGGGAGACAAATGAGCTTTGGCCCTGTAGCCTTGTCTCTGACAGCCAGCTTCATGTCAGCTGTCACTGTCCTGGGGACTCCTGCTGAAGTCTACCGCTTCGGAGCATCCTTCTTCCTTTTCATCATTTCGTATGCCTTTGTGGTCCTCTGCACATCTGAACTCTTTCTTCCCGTGTTCTACAGATCTGGCATCACAAGCACCTATGAGGTAAGAGACCACCTCCTCCCTGTCCAGTGCCTCGGGAGATGCCACTGACTTTCCACTTGGAGGGTTTTTCTTTTCCTTGGTGGGTTGATGTTCCATGAATGCATATAATCCTGACACCAGTAATGGGGTAGTACTTTCAAGGTAATTCCATATTGTTAAAAAGATAGAATGCCTGGCTGGCTCTGCCTCCTGAGTGCTGGGATTAAAGGTGTGTGCCACCACCGTCTGGCGGATCTCTGTGAGTTTGAGGCCAGCCTGGATTACCAAGTGAGTTCCAGGAAAGGCACAAAGCTACACAGAGAAACCCTGTCTCGAAAAACCAAAAAAAAAAAAAAAAAAGAAAAAAAAATAGAATGCATTATGGGCATTATGGGTGGGAGTGCTATGTTTTGTCACTTTGTAGCAGGCAATTAATAATGTTACACTGGCTATTCCCATAATTTACTGAGCATCAATGTGTAAAATATATTTTGGGAAAAAGTGAGAAATATTTATATTTATAATATTTATGTCTAGTTGGTGAAAGACAATGAAAAGATATAATGCTATTAACATTATAATTTCTCAGCTGAGAAAACTGAGATCTAGATAGGTAAGTTAGGCATGTTTTAATACTAAATAAAAATCTACTGAGATGCTAATTTGTATATGATCTTTTTTATGGCCCATCTATCAAACAGTAGATCTCTAATGCTAATTATTACTAAATTCCAATTTTTAAGAAGCAAGTAAGAGTATTTTGTAAAAGTGAGAAATATTTCAGTAGGAAGGAATCCCAAAATAATAAAAATATGTAAATAATTGTAATGAGTGGAAAATAAGCCATGGAATTTTGGCTTTGAAACAATGTTCAATAAAACCAACATGTTCAAAACTGAATTTTCATGCCCAGTATTTAAGAGTGACGATAAAGCAGTTTTTAAGAGAGAAAAAAAAAACATAGAATTTCACTGTCAATGAAAACTCTGGAAGTCACAGCAAAAGACTTATAAAAAACTTATCATAAAAAAATCAGTGAGATGAACTATTATGTTTGTTTAGCCTTCCAAAGCCATTCAGGCAAATAAATACTCTAAAGGAAGTCTTAAGACATACAGAGAGCCTGCCATATCCCAAATGTTCAATGTTAATTATCCTGATGCTGAGAAATTAATTGCAGTTGGGAAATTCAATAGGTATAGTCTGAGACACAAACTCAAGAGATAATAGCTAAATTTATGACTAGCTCTAAAAATGTGCACACATGCCATTAAACAGTAATGTACTTCTGAAAATGTACATGTGGTCTGGGTTTTCCCATCCATGTGTGAGCATTTGACTGCAGAAGATATTGCTGGGTTTTCTAATTTTGTTCTAGAAATGTTTTGAATGTTCTCAACTCTATGTCCATTTTGCCTCTTGGAATATATGCTATGATTAGCCATTCATTCCATAAATATTCATAAAGCATTTACTCATCCTGTGTACATTTCAGGCTTTGAGGACATGCATTAAACTAATGATCTACCCTTATGGGGCTTCCGTTCATGCAAGTGAGACTAACAATACATACATAAAACATTTATAACCTAAGGTTGTCTGCACAGTATTTAACTGTGGACTGAGTACTGTTCTAAGTATTTAACTGTATTAACACATTTGGTCTTTGCTGGCACAAAAATCACAGCGCTCACCTCAGGTAATCAGAGATAACTTGTTCTGGAGACAAATTTGAGTGAATGTGGCCCTGCAAACACAGAGTTAGGTTACCAAAGTTTCTATGTTTACTTTAAAATGATTATATGATATGTTTACATGGAACAACCTGCCTTCTCCAATCCTTGTAACTTGTAACTGGTTTTGGTAAAGTGAATGAGATACTACAAAGGCAATTACACATATTGCAAACACATAACTGAAGAGATTTAAGACTCCTTTCAAATTTACATGTTAAATTCAGATACAAACTTGTTTTAAAAGTACTATTGTGAGCAAGGATGCTTTAAAACCCTTAGTACTATAACAGGAGCACATGAGGATTTTATGTAAATACCTGTGAGGTTATATTGAGTTTGGCCTGTGCCTTACAAGAATTGGCGGTATGGCCCAGAGGTAAACAGAATAAACTCTAATGTCAACCTGCTGGCTTTGACAGCCACTTCTGCCACATGCTAACGGCATGACCGGAGGAATTTCTTAAGCACTCTGTATTGTCAATAATAACTTCTGTCTTGAAGGATTTCTACAGTGAAGCAGTAGCCATGCTTCTCACCATGATGATAATGGACTAAACCTTTGAAACTGTAAGCAAGCCACAATTAAACATTTCCTTTTACAAGAGTTGCTATGGTCATGGTGTCTCTTCACACAAATAGAAACCTAAACACAACTCTTGTCTAAATTCACTAACTGCGTGCCTTTCTCTGTTTTCTAGTACTTACAGTTACGATTCAACAAAATAGTTCGCTATGCAGCAACGGTCATCTACATTGTGCAGACGGTGAGAAGGATTGTGGCAGGACTGGGAATTGAGGGTGACAAGAAATAGCTTCAGTTCTGTTTATTTTGAGGGGAAGCACTCTCAATTAAAGGACAGCTTTGATGCTAAAAAAGTTACTCTCTTTTTCTAAAGAAAGCACTTTTAAGATATGTAAGTATCCTGAGACGAATCTACCCTATATAGACTCCATATTTCTGGACCAACAACTAGAAACAAATTGTAAGCTGGGCATGGCAGCCTAGGCTTTTAATCCCAGCATTGTGAAGCAGAGGCAGGTGGATCTCCCTGAGTTCATGGACACTCTGGTTTACATAGTGATGTTAATCAGGGCCTTATCTCAAAAAACTAACACACACACACACAAAAAAAAAAAAAACCATACATGTGTATATACATATGTACACACAAATGCATGTATGTATACACAGATACATGCAAATACAAATTGTATGTATATTATACACACACACACACACACACACACACACATATATATATATATATATATATATATATATATATATATAATAAAAACAAATTGTATCAGAAGCCACAGAGAAAAGATTTTTCTTCAAATTTATTTCATCCTTTCAACATTTTAAAGATTTTATTATGGAAAGATCTAGACTTAATTATGGAAAGATCTAATAAGTTATTATGTTGTTGTTTTATTTGGAGACAAGTTCTCCCAATATAAACCAGTCTGGAAATTTTCCTGCCTCTGTATCTCAAGTTCTGGGTTCTTTTATGCACTACCTCGCCTGGCATAATTTTGTAAACCGATAAACTGAATCACACCAGAAAAGCTTACTTTTCTCTAAGCTCCTTGCCTCTACTGCAGTAATTTCCATTAACATACCTGCTTCCTTCTTATGGATTCTTTCCCCACATGGGCTTTGGGATTCTTTAAGCTGCCCAAGCTCATCTGCACACACAAAAGCTGTTTCCTGCCACCCTGCTAGTCCCCTCTGCTACAGGATAACCTCCTGCCCTCCTAAAACCCTGCCTCTGCTTGAAGGGTTTACCTAAAATAGGTGAATAATCCTTTCCCTTCCAGCTACTAGCTATATTTAATTAAATGGTGAGTGTACTACATAAGGTTCCTATCCCAATCAGTCTTACTTTTTTTTAAGATTCCAATTTAAATACATTTCTCCCTTTCCTTTTTTCCTTCCTAAACCTCCCATATACCCACCCCCCATTCTTCTTCTAATTCATTGCCTATTTTTTCACTAATTGTTATTGCATGCATATATGCACATGTATATATACATTTATTCCTAAATATACTTTTTAAGTCCATACACATATGATACTCCTTGTATGTCTGCTTTCAGGGCTGACCATTTGACACTGTACAACTAACTTGTACAAAGCAATACTGCTTGTTTGTTTATTTATTTATTTATTTATTTATTTATTTATTTATTTATTTATTTATTTATTTATTTATATTTTATTTTACAATACAATTCATTTCTACCTATCAGCCACGGATTCCCTTGTTCTCCCCCCCTCCCACCTCCTCCCCTTCCCCCCAGGCCACGCCCCCATTCCCACCTCCTCCAGGGCAAAGCCTCCCCCGAGGACTGAGATCAACCTGGTAGACTCAGTCCAGGCAGGTACAGTCTCCTTCTCCCAGGCCGAGCGTAGCGACCCTGCATAAGCCCCAGGTTTCAAACAGCTAACTCATGCAATGAGCAAAGGACCTGGTCCCACTGCCTAGATACCTCCCAAACGTTTCAAGCCAATCAACTGCCTCACCCATTCAGAGGGCCTGATCCAGTTGGGGGCCCCTCAGCTGTTGGTTCATAGTTCATGTCTTAAACAGCCCATATTTGCATTTTAAAACCATGGCATTCACATGGGATTCATATTCACATAGTTCTAAATAATGAAATTCGGTTTAAAATAAAATGGAAGTTAACTAATTTCCACCAGTGAATCAATTGCAATTATGTAAATTAGAGCAAGCTCCGATAATGGCGGCCATCTTTGATGTCAATCTTCCTTGCACAGTTCCTTCTCAGAGACTTTCCCATCTCTATTAACTCAGGGTTTGTTTGTTTTTTGTTTTTTGTTTTTGTTGTTGTTGGTTTTGTTTTTGTAGCAAATTGCTGTTAATTTTTATTTACTCTTTTTATGTGTTTATATGTGTCCTGTGCATATGTGTATGTGTGCTCATTTGCATATGCACAGGTGCACAGAGGTGTGTGTGTGTGTGTAGGTAGAAAAAACTGATGTCAGGTATCTTCCTGGATTGCTTTTTCATATTCTTTAAGACAGGGTCTCTTAATCATTCCCAGACTCACCAACACAACCATCCTTCTAGCCAATCTGCTCCACGGCTCCCTCTACCTTCTGAAGCTGGAATTACAAGGAACCTGCCATGCCTAGCCAGCGTTTGTGTAGATTTTGCAGACCCAAACCCAGTCCTCTTGCTTGAGGAAGCCATCCCTCCTGCCCATCAAAGCTTCCGGAGTTGCTGTTTATCCTTCAGAAAACACCAAATACAAAATTAGTAAGAATCTTTAAAATTCACCTTTCTTCATCTTATAGGTGAATTCCCTCTATAAATAGAGAGTAAGCCACTTTAAAATAGGACGTGTGAGAATGAAATGTTTGGTGAAGAGCTGAAGGGAGTAACTTATTCAGAATAAGGTCAATAAAGAACTTTCTAGGTAGGTTCCCCTCTCATTCTGCTTTCTCTCTGTTCCTGTGTCTACACCAGATTCTCTACACAGGAGTCGTGGTCTACGCCCCTGCTCTGGCTCTCAATCAAGGTGAGTTATTGGCATATTTCACCTCAAGATTCCTGAATTCTCAGCTTTGAAAAAAAATATATATATATATATATATATATTTGATACCTCATGGGAGAGATATCCTGGTAATTAGTAGGTTCCGAATGTCACTACATGTGTGAAGCTCTAAAAATGTACTGAATACTGAAAATAATAAAAACTATACTTAATGGATTTTGCTTTACAAAGTTGCTTGATTGTGAACAGACAGTTCAATTGCATGTTGTTTGGGTGTTTCAAGTTTGTTTTTCAATATTTGAAATGATGACAGATTTGGTATTGTATATTCATAAGTACTAAGTAAGGTCATCAGTGTTGAAGACCACTTCATAGAGTAGAAAATCAGAGCACAATAGTAAAAGATGCTTATAGTTACATTGAGATGTATAGCTGATCCTTTCAAAATAATAGATTCCTGGAAAGAAAAATAACAAAAATAGGATTTAGCTTTCTCAGTGACATCTCTCATATTGAAAGAACTTGGTAGTCAAATTAATTGAGCTGTGTTGTTACATTGGGAAGTACTAGTTTCTCAAAAACTTAGCTTCAAGACTATTTCTTATATTGCCTAGAAGTATATCAAATATACACTTGATATTAAAAATTAGCAGCAAGCTCAAAATTCATGCTCTTCCTCCATGCAATGTTTATGCATCACTTTACAAATAGATGACAGAAATAAATCAGCACAGGTGGCTTCAGATTGCTCCGTAGACATAGTTAAGAAGCAACACCAAAGCTCGACCTAGGATTGAAGATACAGAAGCAGAGGAGGTCAAACTTGTTTTACTTTTCACAGAGAAGTTTGCTTTAATGTTTTTTCTTCTTTTGTAGTGACTGGGTTTGATCTCTGGGGCTCTGTGTTTGCAACAGGAATCGTTTGCACATTCTACTGTAGTTTGGTATGTATAGGGCCATGAAAAAATATTATGAACTACTTCCTAATATGGGATAAGGGTAAATCTCTAACAAGAGGGCATGTAATTATGGAGGGACTAGCTATTCCAAAACCATATGAAGGCATATTGCCTTTTTCTGATGTAATTTCTTGAGGAAGGCACTATTTTTTCTTTAAAAGTCTTGGCAGTGGTCATTATAAAGAGTATTTGGGCACCGGGCAGTGGTGGCACATGCCTTTAATCCCAGCACTTGGGAGGCAGAGGCAGGCGGATCTCTGTGAGTTCGAGGCCAGCCTGGTCTCCAAAGCGAGTTCCAGGAAAGGCGCAAAGCTACAAAGAGAAACCCTGTCTCGGAAAAAAAAAAAAAAGAGTATTTGGGCTGAGATTATTCAGAAGAATAAAGCTTTATTCTTTTGGGGTCCCTGTGGTAGCAGCTGAGTGTGCAACTATTTCACTAGGTTTGGGTCATTGCAGGGATCTGAAGTGGCTTGAGTTTTGTAACTCACTTTGATTCATGCAATTTAAAAAAGTGTAAAGCCTGTCTGCAGAAAGAATCAAATTTAGGACTATAAAATAGCCCAATTAAAATCCTAAAATAATCAAGCTTTCTCAGAAGAATAAAAGAGTTGACATCAAGTAAACCATGTCTAATGAGAAATAGTTCAGTGAAAGAAATATATTCTCAATCAGAGGATAAGTGACCCTTTGTAACTTCCAAAAATCCATAACATTTATATTTTTCTGGATATTCTAAGAAAAATGACAAAGTACATGCATGTGAATGATCAAGGAAGTTGGCATTTAATAATCTGAGGAATCTGTGGTTATTTTGTCTCTTGTTTATATAAGATAATGTATAATGTTTTGATTGCATGAATTCTCAGTTTTCAACCAAGCTATGTGGTATTGTTAGAATGTTTATATAGTTCTGACAATAAATTTAGATCAATAAATATTTAATATGTACTTATTTTGTACCTATTTCATACAATTGAAATCTTTTATTCTTCTGAATCATCATATAATTATACTTTACTACTTATTACCAGGTAGGTACATTGTCTATCTGCACAGCAAAGAAGAATAAAACAATTGACATATTATAGCTGGCTATCCATGTATTTGACATTATGCTCATATCACATACCCTTTGTAACATATATCACCATAATATACAATTCAAGATGCTTTTATCTCTCTTTTACATATTATAGACCCAACCATTTCTCAATGTTGAAACATTTATCTTTATTTCTCTCTCTTTTTGTTCTCACAACTATAATTCTTATACACTCCCTCATACTTTGCTTAAGAAGAGGCTATTCCTCTGTCCACCCTGATCATGTATGACAGGTTTGTTGCTCTATTAGAAAGGAAACTAGATTCTAGACATAATTTTTAGATTTTTGGCTGAGATTTCACAGAATATCAGAGCCCCCCAAAACATCTTTCAACACTCCCACCCACATAGAAATAACAAAACAGTACAATATAGAAAAAAACTTAAATGCGTATCATCAAGAAGGTGTGAACAGTATTGTGTAAGATGGATCAGACTCTCTGTAGGCAAGCTCATAGGTGTGTCCTTTTTTGGATTAGTGAGCTTTAGGCTCCTATGGATACCAGCTGAGTTTGGGACTTTCTTATTAAGCTTAGATATTTTGATGGATCTGATGTGATTCAAATTTAGTAACTCACTTTGATTTATGCATTGTAAAAAAGTACAAAACATCTCTGGAGAATGAATCTAGCTTAGGATGCTAAAATAACCCAATTAAAATACTAAAATATTATATCATCAGAAATAGAATGTAACAATGCACCACAAGTGAAGATCAGTAAAACCTCAAACAAGAGCTATTCCTTTCAGGAATACTATATACTAAATTGTAAGATGTTGAATAAAGAGATATGGATAAACTAGTTCGATAATGCATATCATGAATAGTAATGTTACAACCATTTTAATAAATGGGACACATTTGAAGAGATGAGTGCCATCTTGGAAGATACAGCTGAAGAAATAACAGCATGTTTCAGAAAGATGATGAAATTAAAAAAAGAAACAAAATATATTGATGACAAAATGAAATTCAATTTATGTTCAATTGGAGACTAGGGGGAGACTTGGTATATTTACCAAGAGTGGAGAAAAGACAATATTTACAAATACTATGTCTTGAAGTACATTAGAATTGACAAGAGTAGGAATCTATATTTAGCAAGTACCATCTTTAGAGATAAAGAAAAGTCCATCTCTAGGCATGTCAGTGATAACACTGACCAGTGTGCATGTGGAAGACCTAAAAAAGAGCCTATGCATGAACTCTTCTGGCAGATTTCCTGGCAATTTTTACTATTTATTATAGAAGCTGGAAACAGTGGAATAGTATGTTCAACGATTGAGGGCAAACAACTCCCAAGTGACAGTTAGGTTTCCAACAAAGCTATCTTTGAGGAACTGAATATCAGTTAATCTGAGTACTTATGACTAATAAATAATTTCCTTGGACTCATCTAAAGGAAATACTATGGAAAAGCTGAAAGTAGTGTTGCTGTTGATGATAAGAAAGAAAATACAAACTAATCCAAAAGTTCAAAATGCTACCAAAATCTGGTACTTATTGTGAGTGGGAAGGATGCTCAAAATGCTTTAGACTTTTGTGCATTTTAGATTTTGTATTGGGATTACTAGCAACTCCATGATAAAATCTATACAAATATTCCAACATCAGTAAGACTCTGAAATGTGAAACACATCTTTACTAAGCATTTCATACAAAAGATTCACAAGTTTTAGCATTTGGTAATTGTTATTTTAGTATGATTTATATGTAAATTTGTCTATTTGTTCTATTTTGTCAATACTTGTTTTCTTGTTCTATTGCTTAGATACATTGAAGATGCTTTATTTAAATACTACTTTTTCATTTTAGCTGTTTTATTAAATAGATCGTCTTGAAATTTTCCCTTATATTCATAAAAGTCAAATTTAAACAATTTGATAATGCCCCAAATTCAAGATTTTTGAAAGCTTTAAATATGTTAGATATTTTCCTAATTCACATGTTATTATTTCATAATTTGGAAGGGGTCATTTTTCTTAAACCTAAACTCTATATTACAATTATTAATGGTAAGTTTCTACGTTACAAATAATAATATAGAAAATTTAATAATATTACATACAAATCAGAGAACAAAGTTTCATGTTTTAACCAGCTCGGCACCTCCAATCTTTCTTGCACAACCTGTATGTTTTAACTATCATTTATTCATGTTGACTGACCAAATTCTTGCTTTTGACCATTCATGGAACAACAAGCTTGTTAGTGTGGAATTGAAATGATGTCATTAGATGTAGCTGAGTCCTTCATCTAATCTCACCTCATCACACATCTGGTGAATCTCTTCTCTATCTAGCCAGGCAAGAGGTGACAATTCTCACCAAAAAGAAAATTTATTTGTCCAACAGTTGTTGTGGAATATTATTTCAACTATGTAAATATGTGTTACATTTTATGTTGAAGAATATTACTTTAATTACATTAAGGAATGTTATATTTGTTTATGCTGCATTTGTTTAATGATGTAAAGATGTGTTACATTTGTTTTATGCTGCACTGTTTAATGATGTAAACATGTGTTTGCCTGCCCAAGGCACCTTATTGGTCTAATAAAAAGCTGAACAGATAATAGTGAGGCAGTAGAGGGATAGCTGGGGCTGGTAGACAGAGAGAATAAATAGAAGAAGGCATCTTGTCTCAAGAGAAGAATGAGAGAAAGAGAACAAGGGAGGAAGAGGGAGATACTCAGGGCTAGCCAGCCAGGCGGCCCCCAGCTCACCAAACATGGAGTAGGACAAACAGAATGAAAGAGAGGTTAAAATCCCCAAGACAAAATGTAAAGGAAGAGAAACAGGTTAAATTAAGTTATAACAGCTAGAAGGAAAAGCCTAAACTAAGGCTGAGCATTCATAATTGATAGTAAATCTCCATGTCATGATTTAAGAGCTGGTTCACGGTCCAAGAAAGCCTGCCACATTTGGCATTCTAACAGGGGGCCTGAGTTTGCACACAGGACCTGAGAAAGCTTGGGGGGGGGGGAAGAAAAAGAAAGAAATGGATAGGGCACCTTTAAAAGGCTCTGCTGTACACTGAGCACTCAAGTAGGTGGGATGCTAAGTAGAAATAGCAAGCTAAGCAGAAATGCCTGCCAACCTGAAGGCACCACCTTCCTAGTGCTGGGGTGGTTAAATGCAGCCTCAGGTTAAACACTCACGGACCTAAGCAGGACAGAGCCAGCTGCCAGTGCAAATCTACTTAGCAGTTTAATGTTTGGCTCATGAGGTCAGAAAAGGCTAGAGACACTCAGTCAAGACAGGTCCAGAAGGAAAAAATCCTCTAAATAGGTTACAGTGTGTTTGAAAACATGCATAGGGTTAAGAAAGAAAGGAAAATAGGTATAGACAGGCATAGAAAGAAGTAAATAGTTTGTGAGTAAAGTCTTTAAAGAGAGAGTAAAGTTATATTAAAGAATAAGACACAAAAACATGGGAAATAAACAGTGAATCTGGATCTTGTATGGTATTGTGTTGACTTTGAATTTTTTGAATGCTGATGGACAAATGATAGCTGCTGAGAGACACTGGATTGTAAAAGGAGCTGCTGAATCAAACCACCCTAGGTACTTTAGGGATGCTTTAACTTTAAAATGAAATTCAGAAAATGCATTGTGTTGGGGAAGAGGTTATACTTTTGTTTTCACAGGAAATGAAAAGATGTGGATTCTTTCAAGGTTAATAGAGAACAGGCTTGATGCAGAGAACTCCTGAAAATCTTGGCTACAGACATAAAAAAAATAAACCAAGAAAGACTACCTGACAGGTGACATGTATATATTGATCCCTCTGCATGGGAACAGTTTTGAGACTGGAATACAAATATTACAACCTGTTTTCCTAGGACTTGACCATTATATCAATTTTCTCAGGGTCCCCTACAGATGCCATTGCCTTCAAACAATGGGAAGCAGTCTAGAGAACAAAATGCCCACATTTCCAAGAGGTGGAGTGGATGGTTTTTGGTCATTTGGTGGGTTATGGATATTTGTAATCATTTAGGTGGATATAGGATAAAAAGACAACTATTAACCTCATATATGTTACATTGGTGTGGTATGTTGATATAAAGTTTTAAATTATTTTTGTTATACTGCATGTGTGTTTCTACTCATGTTTGGGTTATTGTGCTTATGCAGCTCATTTAAAAATATAATGTATAATTAAGAAATGCGTTAGTAGCTAGTCATCTATAATAATTACACTTGTAGTCATATTAGGTATGTTTTCCAGGTTAAACAGATACATTGTAGATAGATAGGTGATTTTCAAATGCTTCAGAGACATACAAAATATGGCACTTAAGATATTTAATAACCTAAGACTTCTAATGACAATGAGACATGTCTACTCCTGGCAACACCAATCTACTTCATAAAAATATGATGGGCATCAAGGAACCTCCATGTGGAGTTTGCTTTCATTGGGGCAAAGCTAGCCATTTGGGCAAGAAACTGTCCTTGCCTTGACTGCTGACAGTATGCTGTACAAACTGGGCAAGCAGGACACAAAGGAAAAAATCTATTAAATTAAAAAAAAAAAGGCGGGACAGTCCTTCAAAATTCTGGCTTCATAGAAAAGTCTGCCAGATTGTCTAGACCTATAGGCTGAAGATGGTTGCTTCAATATTGCAGATGAATCTTGGGTGACTGTCCAGGCAGTCAGATGTCTCTGTCATTTCTATAGTTTTGGAAGTGGCTTGCATTGTACTTCCTGTTTACTCAGATAATATTATATCCTTCTGGGGTCTTTGACGGCATTGAAAACTAAATAGTTATAGTTACAGTGTTCCTTAGTTATGATAGAAGGTAAATTGGGTACAGAACTTTGGACTCACCAAGACAGGATAAATAATGGAGTATTTTCTTTGAATTTGCCAAATGCAGATGAACTGGATATTGTGAATATAATTTTTGCTTGATAATTGTTCTAATTGTATATAGTCTTACTATGTCAAAATCAAAACCTTTCTTTTTATTTAGATAAAAGTGGGAAATATTGTGGGATATTACTTTAACTACATCAAGGTGTTTCAGATTTGTTTATGTTGTGGAATATTACTTCAATTATATAAAGGTGTGTTACATTTGTTTATGCTGCATTTGTTAATGGCGTAAAATGTGTTGCTTTGCCGGCCTAAGGCACTTCATTGGTTGAATAAAAAGCTGAACTACCAATAGCAGAATAAGTAGTCGGAAGAATCTAGGCTTGAGAGAAGAGAGAATGACAGAGAGAGACAGAGAGTGATTGAGAAAGAGAGGTAGACATCTAGGGCTAGCCAGCCAGCCAGCACCCGATCAGTCAAACATGGAGTAGGACATACAGAATGAAAGAAAGGTAAAAAGCCCTGCGGCAAAATGTTGATGAAGATAAACAGGATAAATTAAGTTATAAGAGCTAGTGGGACAAGCCTAAACTAAGGCTGAGCATTCATAATTGATAATAAGCCTCTGTGTCTTGATTTGGGAGCTGGCTCATGGTCCAAGAAATTCTGCTACAAATAGTGACTTTCATATTGTACTTTTTTACTCTTGGATCTTGCACCACACTTGGGAAATAGTCAGTGGAAGAAATTTTTAAAAGTGATTCCTGCTATGCAGGTCATTTGCAATATAGTGGGCTGAACATCAGATCTCATATAACAGAGACTAATTAAATATAGTGAGATGGGGAGGGAGGGAGGGAGGGAGGGAGGGAGAGCGTGTGTTTTTGCATACCAAAGAGTCATATAAGACTTCATAGTTATTACAATTAGGTAAGACCTCACAGTGACTATATTTCACTTTAGAAGGACATTTGACAGTCTGTACACTTGAATGACCCACTGATATTCATGTATGTGAGGATCTTATACAGCTAATGATAAGTACTCTGAAAATGGAGGCACTTGATATTTGGTCTTCATAGTACTGAAAAATGGAGGTTTGAATCAGAAAGATTTAACATCTTTGTTTGTTTTTTGATTTTTGATTTTTGAGACAGGATCTCACTATTTGCTCTGCATGTCCTGAAACTCTTTTTGTAGACCAGGCTGGCCTCAAACTCACAGAGGTCTGCCTGCCTCTGTCTCCCAAGTTCTTGTGCCAACATGCCTGGTAGTTTTAACAACTTTAAAGAAAATCAAGTTAGTGTTGTATAGGCGATGTGTATGTGGGCTGGGGGAGGGAGATTTATCGTTTTTCAAAACTTGATTTGAGAAATCATATGTAAACACAATGCTTTTAGTATGTGACTTAAATGTTTATTTAAAATTATGTTTTTCATTTTAATTACTAAATAAATGATGGGTTACTCCATTGTCTTCTTTCTTGTTAAGCTAAAGATAAATATGTCAACTTTTCATAGAAGTTACTGACACTCTGGAGGAGTAACAGGATGATAATTCTACTTTTCAGTGTTAAAAATATCATCTTCTCTCATGTTACTGGCACATATTCACTTGCAAAACACTTCTTATATGCTACTTCATTTCATCTTTCCCTAATTGCCTTTGTCATGCTCACTATGGTCCTAGGGGACTCAAGTCATGGGATGCTACAGCAAGCTCTCACTTTCCTCCTTCCCTTCTGTGCATGTTCTCAGCAAGAATTCTACATTAGAATTGTGTGAAACTTTGAAAAATCAGGAATAAAAGGACCCAACCCCAGCCTCAGTTTATTCAGGATCCTTGGGGAGGAAAATGGGCACTGTTCTCTCCCTGCCCGCTCCACTGAAAGGGAGGCAGGTTTAGTATAATCACTGTTTTAACCTCTTGCCCAATAACTATACTAAACTGAACTACTAGATTAATCTTTCTAAAATGCTGGTGTATTTGCTTGGTTGTCTAATCACCATGTTGCTCTTAAAGCGTCTTCCTCCACACATATGTAGAAACTGTTATTTATTTCTTCTTAATTGTTCTCTCTCCGTGTGTCTCTCTGTCTCTGTATCTCTGTCTCTCTGTCTCTTTGTATCTCTGTTTCTAAAACATGCTATTACTAGTTACATAAAAAGTCTAAAGTTGTCCAACTAGACCTGTGTGATTATTCAATTCTTTCACTGTCTCCTCACCTGTATTTAATGAATCATGCAGTATGAGAATCTTATGTCTTGAATATCTCTCAAAGCCATGGAATTCTTTACATCTCTGCCCTGCTTCATGATCATCTTGGACATGGGAAATGAGAATAAACTGGGAACTTTCTGTTCTACCTCCATACTTGCCATTCACAGTAGTTGACCAATGGCTACTGTGAAACACATGTCATCATGTGACTCTCTTTGTTCTTAGGGAATCATTTTAGCAGTCTTATCTAAATCTATCTTCTCTGACTTCCAGAAAATTCATCAACCTACCTTTTGGTCTATCCACACCTTCCATCTGTATCTCCCAGACTTCTCTCATTTCCTCAGAGACACTTTCTTTTTCCTTTATACTCTCCAGACATATTCTTATTTAATTTCCAGTTCTCCCATTAAACTTACGAATTCATGGAATTCCAGAGGTGACCTAACTCCTTCACTTACCATTTTGTCATCATATGTTAACTCAGAACTTGTCACTTAAAAAATGTTCAGTAACACCCAGGATGAGCTTTGCATGATTTAGTAACAGGGAGCCTGGAGTTGGAGGGGTTACAGACCTCATTTTCAATAACTCATACCATTCTCCCCATTTCAGGGAGGTTTAAAAGCAGTGGTGTGGACAGATGCATTTCAGATGGTTGTCATGATTGTGGGCTTCTTAACAGTTCTCATTCAAGGATCAAATCATGCTGGTGGGTTCCACAATGTATTAGAGCAAGCAAGAAATGGATCCCGGATGAATGTAGTTGAGTATGTGCAATGCTATTTTGTCACCCTTTATAAAATTTTATTACATGATTTTATAAAAAGATAACAGCCAGACACCAAAGAAATGTCTCTGTTACTCCTTCCTTCCTGTGTCACAGCTTTGATGTAGATCCCCTCAGACGGCACACATTTTGGACAATTACAGTAGGAGGAACTTTTACTTGGCTTGGAATCTATGGAGTGAACCAATCAACTATCCAGAGATGCATCTCTTGCAAAACAGAAAAGCATGCTAAGCTGTAAGTTATTAAGAACAATTTCTATGTTATTGTTTATCTTGGTGAGTCATTGTGTGAGTATGTATGTATGTAAAAGAGATAGATAAGCAGAAGAGATTTATTTAACCCCTTCAAAGTCTTTGTGTACATTTTTATGTGTGTTTAAGTGCATATGTATGTATGCATGTGAGTGTGGTGTATGCAAAAGTATGTGTTGGGGAATAGTAAGTGCATGCATGTGGAAGCTAGAGGAGGATGTTGGGTGCCTTGATTCATCGCTCTCCATCTTAGTTTAATTAATTAACTAATTAATTTATTAATCAATCAATCAATCAATCAATCAGAGACTGTGTTTCTCTATATAGCCCTAGTTGTCCTAAAGTTCACTATGTAGACCAGGTTGGTCTTGAACTCACAGAAATCTGCCAGCTTCTGCCTCCTAAGTGTTGGGTGAAAGGTGTATGCCATCAGGTCCCTCCAAGTCTTATTGCTTTAAGACATGATCTTTCCTTGTAGCTGGAGCTAGCTTGGTGATCTAGTGATCCTCCAGTTTCTGCCTTTCACAGCTTTGGGTTACATGCACAGCCATGCCTAGCTTTTTACATGAGTGCTAGAATCCAAACAGAGGTCTGCATGCTTGTGAAGCAAGTACTCTCACACATCTTTCCAGCCCTTTCAGCAAATGTTTCAGTCAAACATGACTATTTACATCTCAGCATATCCTGCTTGGCTTTTTGCTCAAGTAATGTCTGTTTTCATTTACTGAGAAATAAATAGATTAGATTAGGTGCATTGAGTAGGGATGAGGTGCAAATCACGTTTCTTGCTTATAGTCTTCATACAGAGATGGCCCTGATCATTTTTCATTCCCTGTGTGCTGTCTTCAGTTGTTTATTTTTTATGTGTTAGGAGGTACATTGAGATACCTTTTTGACATTTTAAAGCACTTATTTGAATAAATGGCAACTGATAAATCAGTCAGCCTCTACTCAAATACTGCCTGTCTGTGGCACCACTGAAGGGTTACAGGGATGGCACTTTCACAGTATGAACACAGATGTAAAGCAAAGAATACGTGCTATTGATTACAACTACATAGCCACCTTATTTGCTCATCCTTGTGAGAAGCCCTAGTCCTTTGAGTTGTTTGGAGTCTTCTCATAGGTTTGCCCTAGGCTTCAATTTTTCTAAATGTAGACACTTGGAAAAATGGAACAAAGCAAGCTTCACTTACATTTGCAACTTACAATCAAATCAAAGTTCAGTTCCTTCTACATCTATCTCTCTGCTTCAGGGTTCTTCAGGTCTGGTCTCCATTTTAATTGATTTTAACTGATGTTGCTAACCTTAACATTTCTAAGGAGAGTTTTAAGAGCTATAAAATGTAAGGTAATGTGTCTGTGGCTGCTCCAGCTCTCAAAAGAAGAGCTTATTGTAGGATATGAGAATAGGCACAGTTGGACGGTCTGCGTCCCACTAAAAGTTATAGAACAGTCCACTTTCTAGAGAAACCTAAGGCATTTCTCTATTATTTTATAAAACTAGGAAAAAAATTCCAAATTTCACACAAAATGGAATTACAGCCCCAGGGGTGCTTCTCATAGTTCTCTGCCCCAGTCCAGTCACTGTGACTATTTCTTCACACAATTTAAAAATACTTAAATGTGCAATTTCTTATTTTCCCTGAACAAGACAGGATTGTCTTGAAATAATTCAACCACACACACACACACACACACACACACACACACACACACACACACAATTGCGCGAGCGCGTGCGCGCGCACACACACACATACATATACATATATAATGCAAAATGAAGAGAACAGATTCATCATCTATCATTCTATCAAGCCACTTGTGATACATGAAAATCCCATTACAGTAAATGGTATTAAGTAAGTCTTCCACACAGATGGCCATCACTTTATCAAATAGCTAAACAATTGAAAATGCATGTTACTTTGATCTTAAAATCCATTTAAAATTCAAGTAAAAATCTGCTTTTAGATAAACTAGAGTCAACTATCTACAAAGAAAAGAATCTTTTGGTGAAATAAATAATACTCTTCTTCTTTCCTTTTAATATACTTATTTAGTTTTGAAATCAGGTCACTGTTATTCCAGAACAGCCTTAGACTTCTGGGGACAAGAATTCATTCTCCTCAGACTCCTGAATTGTTAGCATAATAGGTATTTGCCATGTGCCAGTTTTTACTTTCTCTTGTGATATGTTGAATTTCTGGTTTCTAAAAAATTAGTAAATGAAAGTTGGTAACTATATCTTTCTCATCACTTTTAAAACACCAAGAGTAACATATAGTGCTTGTTACATGCTTGTCATTTATTAAACAATATAAACAAAATATAATGCTTAAGGAGGGCCATTCTCTTGTGTATATGCAGAAGCACACAGACACTCATATATTGGAAGAATGTGTGCATGTGAGCATGTGTACACACATACATATATGCATATGCCTTTTCATGTGTCTCAAAGCATTACTTCATGCTGCCATGAAAGAAATGTGTGTTCTTACATTTGAATGTGGAATCATCTTCAAACTGTGACTAGATTTTTTTTAAAAAATGGCCAGTCTAAATCTCACCACAATGAAATTTTATTTTATCAGCACAATGTAAGGATGCCTACTTTCAAGTCTTCTTTCAGATTAAGAATATGACTAAAATCTTGACATTAAAATACCTGTATGAAAGCAAAGTAACGTATAGGACCTTGAAAGAGGACCCAACTGTAATTGTGCTTGTTTACTGGAGAATAGTATTAACTTCTTCAAATAATGTGTAAGATGACCTTAACTTTTATTCTTCCTATTATCTTTAAAACACTTGACTTTAATTTTCATCTACTCTCATCTCCAAAGCAACTGTAACCAATACTTGTCTATTTTTATGTTATCTTATTATTATCTTCCTGGAAGAAGTTATTAAAATGTAAGTTGGCTTTTTTTTGAGAGTTTCATTAATTTAGTGGGGCTGGGGAATCACTTAAAGTTATGTAATAGGAATGATCAGCATGTAAAATTTTATACAAGAAAATAGGTCATATACCACACATATTACAATTTTGGCAAAAAAAAACTTTTCAAAGGAAAATCCATTTAAATATTAGCTTATTCAAATTTGTAATTATCAAAAAGTGTAATGACTCCTTTAATGTGATATTATACAGTGTAATGCTTCCAAAAACTAGAGAGTGAGTCCTCCTCCGGTCTTTAGTCATGAACTTCCCCTGCTACAGTGTGGCAGACAGCTTACTGTCCGGCCTTTGTCCCTCTTTCAGTGCCTTGTACTTCAACTTGTTGGGTCTCTGGTTGATTGTGGTGTGCGCTGTCTTCTCTGGTTTGATCATGTACTCTAACTTCAAAGACTGCGACCCTTGGACTTCTGGAGTTATTTCAGCACCAGACCAGGTATGCATTTTCTTGGTTTTGCAGCAGAATGTCTGGATTATGCTGAGTAGAAGTGGCACAGTCTTTATTTTGCCTGGACCTTCACTCACTTGCCAAGCACAAGCCTCTGGTTTCTTACCTGAACTCCTGGGTGACATTACACAGTGCATCTAATATGTAGAAGTGGGTCTGCAGGAAAAGGACACTTCCCTTTGTTCATGAAGACAAAGTCTGAAGACAGACCAGCGTTAGCAAAAAGTCAGCTTGAACCCATGGCTTTGGCTGTTGATAATACTTGATACTCCTTTTCTAAGTAGTCTGGGCTGGTTGTTTCTTTAATTGAATATTGAACAAAAATGAGCACAGTATTATGTACTTGGAATTAGAGCATTTAAAAGTGGAGCCAGAAAGATCAGGAGTGTAAGGCTAGGGTTGGTTACATAGTGATTTTGAGAGGATATCATGGTCTGTATGAGATCATGTTTCAAAAACACAAAAATTAAACAAAGTAACATTAAATAAATAAAATTGAACAAATAATTCTTATTCTCACAATGCCTGTTATCAAATATTCCCAGCATAACACAAATATATCATGAAAGCATAGAATACTAGATGTGGTTTGGAAAACTCAGAGACAGGATGCTCATGGGAAGCATTCACTCCCCTTTCTCTCCATATGAATTCAGTTATGACACATTGTCATGTTTCTCACAAGCTGGGTATACCTAGATCCCCTGAAGACATATGTTAAGGATTGGATTTTAGAACTTAATTATAAATTCAGTGAAAGTAGATAAGTAAAATCCACACATTGAAGATACTGGGAAGTAAGTTTCTCATCTCCTTTTGTGGGAATCGATATTCCAACATTTCAGACATTGCTGTGATAACTATTAACAGACCCCTTCTCTCTCCTTTCCCCTCCCCCTTTATCTCTGCTTCTTTTCTTTTAGTTGATGCCATATTTTGTCATGGAGATTTTTGCCACTATGCCAGGGCTGCCGGGACTTTTTGTGGCTTGTGCCTTTAGTGGAACTCTGAGGTTAGTATGTCGACAAGCTGAAGATGGTAATGATGGTGGTGGTAGTGGTGATGATGACCTGACTGACAATGATAATGATGGTGATGGTAGTAGTGATGACAAACCAACAGGAATGATGACGGTCATGATCAGCTGTCTACTGAGCTCTTACTGAGTGCCAATTTTGCCTGCTGCGATGCTATATTTCTCATTGATCATTGGTACCACACAACATGTGAAGAAGAATCTTCACTCACATTCTCACCAGTTTGCAGATAAGGAAACAGACTTAATAAGGATGAGGGATACAACTAACTTATAGTAAGTAAACTGTGGAGGCCTAAGGCAGGTGTATTTTTAACTACTACTTTAAAACTTACTGGTTATTGTTTCAACTTTGTCTATATTCGTTCCATTATAAAAGACCCAAGAGTTTTCATTGTTTCAGCATTGATCAAAAGCCTAAAGTCTCGCCATTACAGTCAAGGCAAACTCAGTAGTGAATACATGAAAAAAAAATCAAAAAGAAAATTTAAACTTTCAAATTCTGGTAGCACACACAAAAGGGGGTGACTGGCCAGAGCCAAGATTAAGATCCAGAACTGCAGGCATTAAATCTAATGTTCCATGTCTTCTATCAGGGGATCATTAGAGTGGAAGATGGGCTCCTAAGGGTTTGAGAAGTCCTGACTCTGTGTCCTTGCTGTTGCAGCTCACATGACCAATGACTCAAGCTGGCTTTTCCAGCTGCTCATAGCTTATTCCAATGACCAGTGCATGGTGCTGTCTTTTCTGTCTTCCTTGAGTCTCCATTGCAGCTTCAACTCTACTGCTATGACTCCATTACATTGTCCTATAAAGCATTATTTCCAGCAACATAACCCTGCATCATGCAGCCTCATCGTCAAGCAATCCTTGAGATATTGAAGTTAAAAATCACATTTGATATTATCTTTTTTTGGTTCATAATATGTTCAGTAAGGGAATCTATTCTATGATTAGGAATAACAGAGTATATTTATTATGTTATAAACTATTTAAATTATTGAATCATCTATCCTATATATGTGATATAAAAATTAAGTAGAGCATGGGATATATTTCCCTTTAAAATGATCAGCCATTTGTCTTATTTTCTAGTAAATATGCCATCTTTCCACCAATGACTTGAAAGATTACTTTTTTTTTAATCTTAATTCTTCTATACATTTGAAATATCTTATAAACTCTTTTTTGTGTTTCTCTCATGGTCTACAGCTGTTATGATGTCAGTGCTTTTCATGACTGTAACATATAGTATTGTGTGTTAGGGCTGAGGCTGGTGATTAGTTTTCTTTTGCACATTTTTTTTTTTGGTACGTTGTGGGTTTTTTTAATCTCAATTATTTCTGCTTGATTTTCTGGGATATTTTCCCCTCAAATTATTAAAGCCCCAATATTCTTTGAGTTTTCCTTTTTTTCTACTAGTTATATTCCTTTGTCTTCTTATATAACTATGCTTTTTGAACAATGACAAATAACTGGAGTAGAAATCATTATTATACTCTTTAGAAACCATTATTATACTCTTTAGAAGGAACCATTCTTGGGATGGTAATTTTGAATTTATTTTAGTTATTTATTGAACTAACTCAAAGATTCTTGCTCTTTGTGAGGAATTTAAATAAGCTTTCATTGTATTTTGCAAAGAAAACACCAACTTTCTGGTTCTCTGATGGGTCTATCAAGACAATTCTGTGAAGTCAGAAAGAGAGCAGTGTTGCTATCTGGTTATGGTCTTTATTCCTTTCCGGACTTCCTTCTTCTTTCTCCTTCACTGATTCCGTTCCAGCCTCTCTGGAAGTTTCAGGCTGTAGAAAGCAGTGATCACCTTCACACCTCCATGTGTATGGACGTGATTTGCCCTTTATTCTCCAAGGGCTTTCACCCACTTTTCATGAATCTCTTCCCTGCCTTTCTTAACCACTATTTTTAAAGGGACCATCTCCTATCAGTGTCACAGCACCTTATCACTGTCCTTCATTATAATTCTACAGTTCTGTTAAATTGCAAATTGGTTATTGAACGTCTGTATTCTCAGGTAGATTGCAAGGACTATGACGTTCGATTTCAACACTAATGTATGAATAAACAGATACATAGAGAAATATATTGCTAATTAATAGAAAATTGTACTTATTTCTGGGTTAGGATAGTCACTACTTTGCTACTTCTGCTCAAGCTTTGAGTGACACCCCCATCACATATACATACACATGCTCACACATTGGTATAATACGTGTGAAAAGTCCTTCCATTTATTACTTTCTGTTTGTTACCATATTGTCAAGGGAAGTTAATTTGAGTTGTAATATGAAAATTTAGTTTCTTCCAGAGAGTATTTTCATAGATAAAGATTTGAAGGATGAGTAAACAGGCCATGTAGTTCCTTGAATTCTAGAATGTGGACATATATCGGTATTTGTATTTACAAGGCTGTATGTTGTCTGCCTCTCCTGGATAATAAGGCTGACATATAACTCATCCTTTCAGTTCGGAGTGTCTTCTTGTTTGTTTATTTGTTTTTCTTTCTGTAGCACAGTGGCTGCCAGCATCAATGCCTTAGCAACAGTGACCTTTGAGGATTTTGTCAAGAGCTGTTTTCCACATCTCTCCGACAAGATGAGTACCTGGATCAGTAAAGGCTTATGTAGGTATAGCTGGTGGAAATTCCACTCCATATTATGAAATTTAAATGGTCCAAATATCAAAATCTTGCATGTGCTGTTCAGGAAGCATGAGTAGACATAAATGCATGCTGAGACACAGACATGTAGATCCTCATACTTCCAAATATCTTATCAGAAGGATACTAGGAAAGAATGATTAGCTAGTTCACTTTGCTCTGGTCTTACTTTTCAGGTACCTTACGCTCTAATATCTTCATAGTAGTGTTTCTTGATAATGCTGAGTTGATCTTACCAGACGTTTTACATGAAGAGATGCACTGTTCAGTATGACTGACCACTTTATCTAATAATTATCCCTTGAAACCAAACTCTGATTAATGTACTCTAAGGGGATGAATGTTCCTGTTTAAATAAAAAATTGTATATTATCTACTTAGCTAGAGATGTGGGCTTGTTTGTTGCTCATCCATCCATTCTGGAATGTTGCATTGATTGGCTTGATCTTATACAGATCTTATGCAATCAACTATGGCTGCTGTGAGTTCATGAGTGCAGAGGTCCTGTTATGTACAAATGACACAGTTTTGCTCCAGTTCTCCCCAACGTCTGTTTCTTATAATATTTCTGCCCACTTATCCAGATATTTCCTGAGCTTGAAGGGCAAATGGTGTGATATAGATGATTGACAGTTGATGGTTGTTAGGTGAGAGAGATTCAATTTTCTTGGTGCTATAAGAATAGGTTGATCATGCACCAGTGGATGTTCTGACATACATGAGTATATGGGAAGCACTAATTGGACTCAGCAGGTTACTAAAAATTAATAAAGAGGACCTGAAGTTGGGAGGAAAGTTTGGGGAGGAGCCAGGAGTAGTTGGAAGGAGACAGTGGTGGATTAATATGGTTCAAATATACTACATATAAAAATAAAATTCTCACTGATTTTTAATTATTAAAAACTGTATATTACAATCACTGAAACAGTTACCACACTGAATTACATTTTCACAGACTTTTCTGCTTTTTTATAATTTTATTTTTATTTTGATTATTATATGTATATGTTTATGTCTGTGTAAAGGTTTGCAAGTGTAGTGCCCATAGAGATCAAGAGGGAGTCAGATCTGTTAGAACCAGACTTGCAGGCAGTTGTGAGCTACCTGGTGTGGGTGATAGGAACCAAATTCATGTTTTATACATGAGCAGTAAGTACTCTTAACCAACAAGCATCTATCTCTCCAGCCCTCAAATTTGCTGCTTTCAAAGTACAAATAAGTTATGTATCTCATATGCTCAATATAGAAAGTGCAGTAATTTAGAAAAACAATTTAGTTTTAAGTAAAATTATACCTACGTAATTCTGTTTCTGGTTGTTTTCCTGTAGCAATCTGCACTGTGCATTTCCTTATGTGTGCTTTGAAAACATAGGAGCTCAATGATTACATAATATATTCTCCAACGGCTTACTTATTTCATTTATATTCTTGTTACTTTTATAGTGCATAGTTATTGTACCTAGTGATGAGCTTCATAAGTACATTTTTTTCATTTGTCATGTATTTTGAACACATTCACTGCCCATAACATCTCTGTTCTCCAGTTCCATCCATTTTCCAGCAAAGGACAAATTTCCTTCTTTGTGGCTGACCACAGCTCTGGGGTCCTCTGGGCACCTTAGCTGTTGACCTTGGGAGAGAACTCTACCCTGGGCAGTTATTTGCAAGCGTGGAACTCTGCAACAGCATTGTCACCCCCGGATCTTTGCTTTGAAAAATATTTTCATTTCCCACAGTTAGAGCCTTTGATGGGTGGAGTCCTCCCCTCAGGGAAGCTTTCAGATGGTCCCAGTGTTGACCCTGAGGTTTCTTTTTAAAGATGCAGATCGCATTAACAATGACAGATACTTTCTCTGCACTATCTGGTCTGCAACTTCAAATTATCTCCTTCAAACCTTTATTCTTTTCTCCATATCTTCTTTCTCTCTGGTCTCCTGTTCTTTTTCTTTTTCTTGATATTGTGGATGGTATGATTTCCTCATAATAATTTCTCCCATCTAAGTACTTACCAGGCCTGACCCTGCTTAGCTACCAAGTTCAGAGTAGGTATTAAATTCAGAGTGGTATGGCCACAAACCACACAACATTTCCTAAACTGTTGGATAGTAATGTGAAATTACTGTATTTTTTTTGCCTGTTTTTATTCTGCAAAGATCATATACAGCTGTTCACCCAAATCTTGTCTATTCACAAAATTTAAGTTGATTTTTATGGAGATATGATTTTTGTATGTAGTAGCAGTTTCATTATCCACTTCTTTATTCTTCTCATTTTGGCTGCTTGTTTCTCTTATCTTTAACTTTTCTTTGTTCTTTTTTTGTCATAGTTTTTTCCTCTGCATACTTAAAATACATGTTTCTCTCAATATTACTTTGAACTCTCCTCAAATAAAAATCTCTTAGCAATAGTTATTTTTATTTTTGGTCTTATGTTTTGTTCCTTACATTTTATTATAAAAAATGTGGCAATATATCAACCTCTGATATAAATATGTGATACTCCATTAATTTCTTTGAACTTTTTCACATATCCATCCAGCTCTTTGTCAATTTAAGAATCCATTATATCATTCAGTTATTTAAAAGTAAATTGCACATGCCATTTTATTTTCCATAATTATTTTAGGTTGTATATTGTTAACTAGAATTTAATATATGTTTCAAAGTTTTTAATATAAAACATGCATATGATGAAATGGAAAGCTGTTACATACATATTTGTTGAGTTTTGACAAATGCATTATCCTAAGTAGGGTTACTATTGCTGTGATGAAATGCCAAGACAAGAAGCAAGTTGGGGAGGAAAGGTTTTATTTGGTTTACACTTCCATATCACAATCCATTGTAGAAGGAAGTCAGGACAGGAAATCAAACAGGGCAGGAACCTGGAGGCAGGAGTTGATGCAGTGGAGGGTGCTGCTTACTGGCTTGCTCCCTGTGTCTTGCTCAGTCTGCTTTCCTATACAACCCAGGACCATTTACCTATCCAGGTATCTCTCTGTCTAAAATGGTCATGGCCCTCCCACATTAATCACTAAATAAGAAAATACCCTATAAGTCACCTATAGCCCAATCTTATCAAGGCATTTTCTCAACTGAAGCTCCTTCCACTCTAATAGCTCTAGCTTGTGTCTAGTTGGCATAAAACTAACCAACACATGCATCTACCATGAAACCCAATTGTTTAGCAAGATATGTCATCATGATCGTTACCTTAGAAAGTTTTCCCCTGGCTTTTCTCATCATTCTCATCTTAGCTTCCCCCAGAGACAATCAACTACCAGATTTTGTTTTTCCAATGTAGATTTTTAACTTTTCTAGAATTTCATATAAATAGAACTTCACAGTGACCCAGACTTTATAAAGTCTGTATATGTTCAATATAGTTACAATATTTCTTTTTCCTACACTTCAGTCGTGCTTAGGTGAATGTAGGAAAACAAAATCATGGATTTGGGTATCAACTGCTGTTCATTAGCATATATCCTGGGCTGCTTCAGTGTGAGATAATTAAGAATAATCTTGTAAAATCCTTTTAAGAAACATACTCGTTGTTCTTCAGTAGATGTGCTTTGTCAACTCTCAAGGTTTCAAATTTACTTGAAATGCTTTGGTGTTGCATCTGAATTTATTTTCATATAAACTTAGTGGTATTGGATTTTGTGTGTATGTGCATTGTTTTAGTTGACTATGTTTTTTTCTTTGTACTCATGCTTCTTTTTTTAAATGAGCCTATATAATCTCTGTAGTAACTGAGGTTGCCAGTTTTTAGGTGATATTTTCCTGATTATTTGGTAGATTATTTCCAGAAATATTCATTATATTCATTACTCCTTGTGGCCTCATTTAAGCACAGATGGTGGGATGATCGCATACATTTTTCCTTTATTTATGCTTGAACAAGATTAGATGGATGCAATCGTATTTGCTAACTGGGTGAAGCCTGTGGATCTTTTTTCACTACATGAATTAGAGATCCCAGAGGGTGAATGGGTGGTATATCCAGTACAATCAATCCCCAGCTACTGGCAAATAGTCATGGAAAAGTATGACTGAAGAATTTATTTCTGTAACTGTGTTGTCTCATCATTGGATCTGATGTAGCACTAACAAAATCCACAAGTACAATTCTTGAGAAATTAATTTTGGATACACTTTGGATTCCTTTAGTGGAGTCCATTCTCAGAATGTGAACTCTTTGGGTCAAGAATAAAGTTTTGACTTTACAACCATGGTGTCTGGCAAAGTTCACAACCTATGGCAAGAATCCAGTAAAATTGAACCAAGATAATATCAGCAGCTGGGTTGGATATTTAGTGGTCTTAGTTTCATCTCCTCTTCTGGGATAAACTAGCCTAAACAAACACAACTTAGAAAAAAAAGACTTCATTTTTAGCTCACAGGTTACTGTCCATCATTACAGGGATGTCAAGTGGCAGGAACTTGAAATAGCCAGTTAGCTCTGCAGCCAAAAGCAGAGAGAATGAGTATATGTCTGATGTGCTCAGCTTGTTCTCTCCATTTTATATAGTTTAGGATCTTCTATCCAGAGATTGGTGGTACCCACAGTGTGTGTGTGTGTGTGTGTGTGTGTGTGTGTGTGTGTGTGTGTGTGTGTGTGTGTGTGCGCGCGCACAAACATGCACATGTGAGCATGTGTATGTGTGGAAGGAAGAGGTTCCCACCTCAATTAATGCAACTAACATAATCCTCTATAGACATACCCAGGGGCCAACTTGATCTAGACAATCCCTCACTGAGATTCCCTTCCAAGTGATTCTAGATTTTGTCAAGTTGGCTGTTAAAACTAGCAATCATACTGGCTAAGAATACTAAAACTAAAACTGCCACTGTGTCTGTTACTATCTCTGACACTATTTTTCTCTTTCTTATTTTGTTGATGAATTATTATAGGAACACACTCTTAGGGTGTTTTAAAAATGGAAATGTGTAAAAACCATTATTATTTTAAAAGAAGACATCATCTTTAAAAGTCATTATAACAATACAATAATTTAAATGTCAAGCTTCTGTGGTACCAGAGAAGAGTGCTACCTGAAGTTCCTTATGCTATTGTATAAACAAATAAATCCTTATGTTGATACACAGACAAATCAATTGTTAATTGTAATAATACTATAGCATTACTAAGGTTATGAATAAAGCACCAAGGGGAAAACCAGAAAAGCTTTCAGGTTTTTGATCCTGTGAATCAGTGTGTTAATGCTGATTTACCACATAAAAGGTAAAAATCTATCCATATCTCAAAGAGTCTAGTTGCTTCTCCTTCTGCTTATCCCTGGAGAGTGGCCGACCTAGAATTGGTGTCCACTTAATGAGTTTGATATTGCTTGAGCCCTTTTCACATTCATGTTTTTTCACATGACAGACTTTTGGAATGATAGATAGAAATCTTTTGATCCTGTACTCCAGTTCATTTGCCCTGAGAAACAGTTATTGAAGTGCTAGGCAGAGACTGTGCTGTCTGTGTGCAGAGAAGGTTCTCCTTCTTCAGTCCTTCATTCAAGACACAGTTCTGGGTGCTCAGGGATATCCTCAGGAGAACATATCATCATATGGTTTTTTTCTTTCAGGTCTCTTGTTTGGCATTATGTGTACCTCCATGGCTGTGGTTGCATCCTTCATGGGGAGTGTTGTGCAGGTAATGGAAGAAGGAAAAACCATTTGATTTCACAGCACACTTCCCTCAGTTAAACCTTTCTAAAGCCTTGTGTGATTACTCCAAGGCCCAATATTAATATTTGCGGACACCAGATCCAAACAAACCATACATAAAAATTTCAACCAAAATTACTTTCTGAAGGGTAAAGTCGTAATAGGATGGCTTGCAGTGGGTTTATTTTCTCAGTTCGTAGGACATGTGTTCTCCCATTCCCTCTCTCTTAAGAGCCTTTGTTTTCTCTTTTTCACTGTGATCAGTAGTTACTAAGAAAAAAATCATCCTGTCCAATTTAATGATACTGTGAGTAATTGAATTATTTTTTGAGAGATTTTTGCATTTTGATCATTTGTAATTAAGGTTGTAGGCACCAGAGAAGGCCAGGACACCCCCAGTGACTGATGGATAGAAATGGTACCTAAAGTGAGTGAGTTAAGATAGCTGGACTCATCCCTCTGTCCTTGTTCAGCTGAGAATTTGGCTCAACTGACCTGATTGGGTTAAAGAGTGTACCAAACGGTTCACACAGCATAGATGCTGGCAGGCTACCAAAGGAACCCCCTATCTTGTCTTTCAGGTGGGGTGAGCATCTCTAAGGCAGTGGTTCTCAACCTGTGGGGTGCGACCCCTTTGGCAAGCCTCTGTCTCCAAAAATATTTACATTATAATTCATAATCTTAGCAAAATACAATTATGAAGTAGCACCGAAAATAATTTTATAGTTGGGGGTCACCACAGCATGAGGAACTGTATTAAGGGGACACAGCATTAGGAAGATGGAAAACCACTGGTCTATGATGATCCACTAATTTCTTTTGCCACATTTGAGCAAATAAAGGCAGATGTAATTCTATTATTTTCACTATAAATCAGCTTAGCTATGCTGAATTTAGTAAATCAATATTCAGATTCTGATTTTACATATGGAAGCAGACAAAAACTAAAGTTTCAGAAATCTGAATGATAGAACCAGGTTTAATTTCTTGTTCACAAAACCACAATATACTTAGGGCATGTATTTGTGGGTGATACTAGTGGCCACAGCTTTCAGCTTCATAAAAGCTAAATAAATTTTTCTTCAATGATTGTTTTTGGTTTGGTGTTTTGTTTATTTGTTTGGTTTTAAAGTTTTATGTATTGTTTTAGTGTAGGAATTTACAAAGTATGTCTTGAAAAGTTTCAACCTGTGAATGCTCCAAGGGAGACAATTTCCACAGTCAGGTCCCATGTGAAAAATGCTATGCATATGATGTTCCCTTCCCTAAGATCAAGCACATAGGGTACTGAAGGCTGTGGGAAATCTAATGATAAGTAAAGCTGTTTCACTTGAAATAGTATGATGCTGGAGGATGCAGGGAGGGATCAGATGAGAGTAGAAAGACTCATCCCCTGATGAGGGCCTTGGAGAGCTTCCTGGGGGCACCCTTGCTTTGTAGTACTTTGCTCTCTGGTTTTGAATCTACTGCTCATTTCTTATGTCCCACATTCTGACATTCACTAATGTCATGTGTGAACTAAGTAAATATATAAAATTTTATCCAGTTTACTTTTAGAAGAGGAAGGGATTAAACAAAGAAGTAATGATGAGATTAATTATGATTAAAATTCAAAAACCTCTAAGATCCCTGAGAGTTAAAATGCTGCAAGATGTCTTTCTACACAGTATGCTGTTGGCCATAGAACTACCTGGAATTCTGCTAAGGGGTGGAACAGTTTGAAGACATGTTTTTATCTCAACTCAAGCAGGTCTTTCCAGATTTTACAGCACTCTAGCATTTGGAAGCCATGGCAAAGAAATCAAAGCTCCCTAGCAGGACACAGCACAGACAGATAACAGTGAGAGTACTGGGCAGTTCAGGGCCACTCCTAGTACACATCACCGTGCTTAAACACTTTTCTGAGTTTTCTTTTGGAGTCTACATTACATTTTCACCAGAAAAAAGTCCAGAAGGTGGGTATGATGAGATGCCCTTTTGACATTTTAAACAAGCTTAGGCCCAGCATAGCTAAATGCCATTCACAAGCCCTGTCAGCAGCTCCAGGGCTGAAGCACAAAATCCTGGACACTGTCCTCCAGTTGTAGGACAAGCTCAGATGGGTTCTGGGCATTGAAGTAGAACCTAGGTTAGACTAGCTTTGAGCTTGCTTCTGATTACACATACTGAAGGACAACAAAAAGAATGTAAAAATGGAAGTCTGTTGCCTTTGTAGACTACAGATACACAAGAGAACATTTGAATGTATATGTGTTTAAAAATAGAGACTCTTGGATTGATTTTCTGTTGCTTTTTGCTCTGAGGCATAAGACATTGCAAGTTTGTCTTTATAAGCCACCCCTCCTCAAAGGGAGATGAATGTCTTCAGATTTTATTGACTCTTCTCTTGATAGCTAGTAATAACCTTCAAAATTCAGCTGCCACAACATTGTTGAATTAATTCTACCACCAGCAAAGAAATACCACAAATATTAAATGACTGGACTCAGGAGAAAAGAAACTTAATTGTACATGCCCCTGTCTTATCCAAGGTAAAATAGGAATTAAATTGTCTGAAAATGAATCTGGAAAAGCAATCTATTTTAGTTAGGGTTTTATTTCTGTGGAGAGAAACCATGGCCCACTGCAACTCTTACAGAGGGAAACATTTAATTGGCGCTGATTCATTGTTCAGAGGTTTAGTCCATTATCGACATGGCGGGAAGCATGGTAGCATACAGGCAAATGTGGTGCTGGAGAAGGAGCCGGGAGTTCTAAATATGGATTCACAGGCATCAGGAAAAGTGAGTGCCACTCTGAGCATAGGTTGAGCTTCTGAGACCTTAAACCCCACCCCCTAGTGACACACCTCCTCCAAAAAAGCCATGCCTACACCAACAAGGCCACGCCTCCTAATAGTGCTACTACTCCCTATGGAACTATGAAGGCCATTTTTATTCAAACCACCACAAAATTATTTTGCAGCTCATATTTCTGGGAAAAGCACTTATATTGCAGCCGAAGGAAATGGGAAGAGCCCTTGGCCTTGCATATTTTTGCATAGCAAGAGGAGAGTGAAAGTTGAATGATAACAAGTTAATAACAGAAAGTTCATCAAATCTTGGAGATATATGACAGGGTATAGTAAGAATTCAAACAGTCTAATTGTTAAAGATAGATTCTTTCAAAACCATTTTCTCCTTTAAGTAAAACCCGGAAGGCATTATGATGATTTGCATTCTTAATATTATTTTGTTTTTTTTAATTTAATTTAATTTTATTTTACAATATAATTTAGTTCTACATATAAGCCACAGATTCCCTTGTTCTCCCCCCTCCTGCCCCCTCCCCTTCCCCCCAGCCCACCCTCCATTCCCTCCTCCTCAAAGGTATAAAGTGCAGGCACAGTCTCTCACATATTTTTTTTCAATTGTTACCTTCCTTTTTTTTTCCTTTTATTTTATTTTACAATATCATTCAGTTGTACATATCAGCCACCGATTCCCTTGTTCTCCCTCCTCCTGCCTCCCCTCCCATTCCCACCTCCTCCAGGGCAAAGCCTCCCCCAACTGAGATCATCAACCTGGTAGACTCAGTCCAGGCAGGTCCAGTCCCCTCCTCCCAGACTGAGTCAAGCATCCTCTGCATAAGCCCCAGGTTTCAGACAGCCAACTCATGCACTGAGCACAGGACCAGGTCCCTCTGCCTGGATGCCTCCCAAACAGATCAAGCCAATCAACTGTCTCACCTGTCTGGGGAAAAAAAAAGACTGACTCTTAATATTTTTTTAAAAGACTGCTTTTGGGAAAGAAAATGTAAAATTTTAAAGCCAGACAAATCTGAACTTTCTAAACGAAAATAGACTTGAATGCGTTTCTGTTAGCTCCAAGTTTCCTTTCTAAAAATTTTGGTTACTGTTATTGAACTGGGTGAGTGTGAGGATTAAAGGAGGCATTGTCTGGAGTACACAGACAGATCTCCTTGGCTGACCGACATATGAATGGCACCTAACATACAAACTTTTGCAAGTTCTTGGGGGCATTCTAAAGCTTGGCCCTGATATAAAATCCCCATGGTCCTTTTATAGATATAAAAAGTGCTGTGGAGAAAGTAGCTTGACATGTGTTGTTTGTGCACATGTGTGTGTATACTCTTCAGTGAATTTGCATCCTGGCTCTCAGAAGGAACTACTCTTCATGCTGAAAGCACACTTTTTCAGTCTTTCCAAACTGCTATTTTTTTCTTACATTTCTCATACACTTACATGTACGAAGCTATAGAGACTGCAGAAAATCTGTCTTTACTTATGTTTATAGTATAGGTATTACATGAACTCTAAGCCAGTTCATTCAGGTCACTTAAAAACGAGAGATATTAAAATGCTTTACTCAAAATTTCTTATTATTCAAAAGAGATGGAGCCATGAATGTAAAAAGAAATAAAAGGGAAGAGGCCTCTTCACAGTGTTCCAAATACTGAAGAATTCTTCAGTATCTCAGAAGTGGCATGGGTTGAGATCCAGATAACTGTTATTATATAAATGACAGAAAATTTCAAATCAAGTTCAATCAACTAATGAACCATGTAGGATATGAAAAATAAGTTATAGAGCTGTATTGATTTAGTAAATTTCTTAACTAACCAACAAACAAAATAAATTCTATGGTGCTGGGAATTAGACCCAGGGCCTTGTACATGCTAAGAAAGTGAAAAGAAAAAAGTCCTTTTGCTATTATAACAAGTTAAAATAGTTTCAACCAATGCAATTTACCTGAATTGATGTTTTCTAAACCTATGCACACACATGTACACATTTAGTTGTATATGTATATGTGTATAGTTGTATGAATATGCATGTGTATGTATATATGTATTTTTTATAAAGAAAATACGTGATTAATAAATGGGACTCAAGTTCACCTAAGGTTCAAGGAAACAATGGTGGTGTCATGATAAGCTACAGAGGCAGTGGAATGGTAGGGCTCATCTGGTCTTCTTTTTCCTACAGGCTGCCCTCAGCATCCTTGGCATGTGTGGGGGACCGATGCTAGGTTTATTCTCTCTAGGTATCCTGTTTCCTTTTGTGAACTGGAAGGTAAGGATTCTGTACCCCTCTTTATAAGCCCAGTTCAAATAAGGCTCTTTGTAGCCAGAAGTTTTCTCTGGTCATGTGGAATCTCTTCCACCTACATCCTGCAGCTGCTTGGTCCCAAATAAAAACACAGAGGCTTATATTATTTTTAAACTATGGCAATGGTAGGATTCTTGCTAGTTAGCTCTTACATGTTAAGTTAACCTATTTCTATAAATTTATACCTTGCCACATGGCTTGTGGCTTACCGGTAATTTACATCTTGCTTCTCCTGGAGGTGCTAGCAGCATCTACCTTGCCTCTCCTTTCTCTTCCTGCCTATCTGTTTGGATTTCCAACCTGCCTCTAAGCTGCCTTGCCATAGGCCAAATGGCTTTATTTATCAACCAGTCAGAGCAACACATATTCACAGCATACAGAAAGACATCCACAGCAGCTCTTTTCATTTTCTATCTCCTTTTCCTTCTGCTTGGGAAAGGTGTTTATTTTTTCCAGAAAATAAATCCAAAGAATTCATGTTACCTGTATTTCTCTTTCACAAACATTTACATATACACAAGCATAGAATTAAATGGGACCTGGGCCCTCCTATATAAGACTATATTGAAAACTGTTTAGAAGTAAAAGGCAAATAAGGGAAGAGGCAACCTTGAATGGTCGTATGCTGAATGATTAATACATGGAAAGGACAGGCCAGAGATATTGTTACATCTGGTACTTCTTTTGCTAATAGTGTGTCTTCAGATAAACGTAGGTAGGCTGTATGCAAGGTATAGGTCGGATGACAATCTGTTAAGAAAAGTAACATAAAACTATTTAAAATTATTTAGAATATAATTTTCTCAACCTAGTACAAGGGTCACTATAATTGTTCTCTACACACTTATACACACAGTTGTAGAGACTCCAGAAAGTCTGCCTGCATTTATAAATGTATAAATCCTGAGTTTGGTGTCCCAGCTACATAAATGTATACAGCTATACAGTTTTTGTTGATACTATTTTAGATAGCTCTTGTAGGATTAGGCAGTATCTTAGTTAGAGTTTCTATTGCTGTGAAGAGACAACATGACCACAGCAACTCTTATAAAGAAAAACATTTAATTGGGGCTAGCTTACAGTTTCAGAGGTTTAGTCCATTATCCTCGTGGTGGATAACACAGCTACATGCAGACAGATATGGTGCTGGGGAGGTAACTGAGAGTTCGACATCTGGATTCACAGGCAGCAGGAAGTGACAGCCACACAGCATGGCTTGAACATCTGAGACCTCAAGGCCCCCAATGACCACTTCCTCTAACAAGGCTATGCCTACTTCAACAAGGCAACACCTCCCAGTAGTGCCAGGTTCTATGCTCTTATGGGGTTATTTTCACTCAAACAACTATTACAGGTAGTTAGCTTAGATATATAGTGAACATTCACGCATTTGCAAAAATTATCCTGCAGTCTTGTTAGGAGAACACTGTCAAAATCACTTCTGTGGTATTTGGGTTTATTAAAATATTTATGCCATTCAGTTATAATTTGAGGTAGTACCTAGTCATTAAAACCAGTCAAAAGACTGTATCTTTGCCATAGCTTTGTAAGTTCTTAGTAGAATACATACTTCATGGACAATAATAATCGACATGCCAATGTGGACAGGGGAAAGACCACAAAGCTTCAACTAGTGAACTAGTGAGAGTGGGAGAAATAGCCATTTCCAGGAAAGGGCACACTAATTTGTGGCTAGAGTTTTCCTGCCTTGCCCACAATTAGGACAAATGTCTGTCACTCGCCAGTCCCACAGCCACTCAGACCCAACCAAGTAAACACAGAGACTTATATTGCATACAATCTGTATGGCCATGGCAGGCTTCTTGCTAACTATTCTTATAGCTTAAATTAATCCATTTCCATAAATCTATACCTTGCCATGTGGCTTACCGGTGTCTTCACATGTGGCTTTTCATGGCGGCGGCTGGCAGTGTTTCTCTGCCTCAGCCTTCTGTTTCCCAGAACTCTCCTCTCTCCTTGTCCCACCTACTTCCTGCCTGGCCACTGGCCAATCAGTGTTTTATTTATTGACCAATCAGAGCAATTTGCCATACAGACCATCCCACAGCACTAATTTGTTGTGCAATACCAAATAGTCAGCCCTGAAAACATATACATATAAGTAACATTATACATATTGAGAAAGATACACACACACACACACACACACACACACACACACACGCACACGCACACGCACACACACATGAACATGAAACAACAATTAGTATTAGTAAAAAAGATGCAATGAATTTGAAAGAGATCAAGGAGGGGGATTTGGAGGGTTCAGAGGAAAGGGAAGGTAGAATGATGTAATTATATTATAATCTCAAAAAATAAAATAAGTAATGAAAAAGAGATAATCTATGTTAGTAGGCTTTAGTACTTCTGATTATTCAGGAAAAAGACTTAATTCTAGATAGAGGGTAGCAAATATTATAAATCTGTGCCATATCTTCCCTTGTTCATGCATCTCAACTACTCTATCATTAATCCTTTTCCTAGGGACTATAAGAACAACTTCAGATTCTGCCTCAACATGGCTGTCTAGGCAGCTACCTAGTTTGACCCTCCTGCTGTCTTTTACAGTTAAATTGTGGTCAGGAATTTCTGACTTAGAACAAACATAGCTGGCCTCCTGTTTGAGGCTGTGACCTGCAATCTAAAAATGTATGGACATTTATAAGTAGATAGAAGAAATTAAAAATAATTATATTTCAAGGTACATTAATACTGAATTTCAATGTCCATCAACAAAACCTCACTGAAACATGACCAGCCTCTTTTATTTGGTATTGTCCATAATTCTCTTGTGGTGCAATGGCAGAGATTAATAGCTATGGCAGATACTTCATAAATCACAAAGCCGAATACATGTACCTGGCTATTTGCAGAAGTTCACAGAATGCTTGCATGTGCCAAAGCACAAATATTCATCTGTATATGTTGTTTTAATTTTACCAAACAATAATGGAGGAAGATTCTGGGCCCTTACAAAGGACTCATTTGTGCATAATAGGAACTTCAACAATCTGCTTTCTTTTGCAAAGTTTATTAAGAAACATGGTCTTTAAATGCAAGCATAATAAAAAATACACTTACTCGAGTTTAGAATCAACCAATTAATCAATCAAACAAGCAAACCAAACTTAAGCATCAGGAAACTCTTCTAACTTGTGGAAAGAAATAGCAGCCAGACTTTTGGTATAGCATCTGTCAATAAAAAATGACTACATGGTATAAAGATTTCCATGGCTCTGAACCTCTTTTTTTTTTTTTTTTTTTTTTTTTTGGTTTTT